CCCCCCCCCCCCCCCCCCCCCCCCCCCCCCCCCCCCCCCCCCCCCCCCCCCCCCCCCCCCCCCCCCCCCACGTGACCCTTTTCTATGGTTTTAAAGAATTGGAGTCTTTAGGTTGGTGGGAAAATGGTTTTCCAAGTTTTTTTTTTTTTAAATTATTTTCACCAATGGGAACAAATTCTATCCATAATGGTAAAAAATTATATCCATTTAGTTGACAATTTTCATGAAAAATAAAGCCAAACGAATACCAACAAATCCAAAATTTCAACATTTTTCAGGTGAAATTTAACCAATTAAATACATTTAATTGACAATTCCTATCAAAACAATTTCTAGGCAATTAAATTCTCAGAAATTTATTTTCTTTCCACCAAAATTTCATTATTGCAACCAAACAGACCATTAGTGTAATTCAAAAGCAATCAATATTTCATCATTTCTCTGTACAATATAAAATCGACTCCAAAATTTCTCTCCTAAGGCTTCACTCCCTGCACCCAATATGCTTGTCATTGTCATTTTTGAGCAAACTTGAGCGTCGGAGTCGCGTACTATCTTAACCTTCTCCCACCCTTTTGTCATTGGAGAATCCCCACTTTAGAACATTTACAAGTGCGCATGTAACAAATGCTTGGAAATACACTGTATCCAAACCAAATTCGAAGATCGACTTGTACCAATAATTTATCTTCTCCAAGTGAAATAGTATGGAGAATGGAGAACAAATTCTAGTATCTGTACCATTTTATTTAGCCCCCTATTTGATAACCATTATTTTCGAACCCTTTTTCTATATAGTCATTTTCAACCATACATTCACACAATAAAATATTCTGCACATAAATTCAAAATTTTTTCTACTTTTTAATCACACATTTTTCTTAAAAAATACTATTCAAAACTTTGATTTCCACAATTAGTAGTTGTCAAACAGGGCTTAATGTACTTTATTTTTCGTATCCTTACCTTCTACTACTTATGCTACTATTTGACAACGTTATGAAATCTGATTTGTAGAAGTTTAAGGTCAAGCAGATAATTGTCATCCATTCATGTCACTTCCCAAAATATTGAACAAACCATGACTACGTTGTTTTTCGGAAAGCCCCAAGAAGGAGACATACCTTGACTTCAAACACTTGGGATGGACTTGGGAGATACGGGTTACATATTTTACCCAGTCAAAATTGCAATAGAAGTCCCAACCTATTAAATTCATGCAAAGGCATCCTCAACCTCTATCTATCTCCCTTCAAAAGTACTACAATTTTCTTTCACATAAAAATTTAAAGTAATGCTATTTATACATAATTGTATACAAATTATAGATACAAATTATAGATTGATGATGTAGATAGTATTAACTATAGTTGAATTCATTTCATTATATTCTCTCTTTCACATCATCATTGTATAAAATAATATGTACACAATTATGTACAAATAGTATTACTCACAAATTTAAATGCTAAGTTAATGCAATTTGTAGTGTTCATATTTGGATCCCATATTACTTTTTTTTCTTTTTCATGACTTAGACTATAATATTTTTGGCACGGTCCTTTCAAATCTATAAGCTAGTCAAACATTGTATTTTATCCTTATATTCCACATGATCCATAACTTTCAAACCTAGGAAGGCTTAAAGTAGCCACTTAACCTCAATCCAAACAAATTTGCAGTTACAATGATAGTTATAAAATTGAATCGGACCGACCGGGCCTAAAATCGGTGAACTGAACAGTGGTCCAATCCGATTGGCATTGAATGGTCCATTTTCATACGATAGATCAAGAACTACTCACACTTGTCGAAACAAGTGGGTACTTGTTTCGAGAAATCGAATCCAACTCAATCTAAATCAATTGTCATCAAGTTAACCACAGAATAAAATGTAATATCATATTTACACTAGGGGAGATTTGAACCTATGCTTCTTGTACGAAATATGAGTACCTTGACTGCTATGGCAATTTCAAAACCTTTGTATTAAATGTGTGTGAATTTATATATATTCGATTTTAGCAAAATATTATCTATTTTTTCTAAAAAAATATTTTTTTAATTAATCTTCGGACTAACAATGATCCAATGGTTGAACCGCTGATTTATTGATTGAACTATTGATTCGATGATTTTTTCGAATCAACTATCATTTCGTATCTGATAACTATAGTCTATAGTTAAAACTTGTTCTAATAAAATTCTCATATTTGCTATATTGGCCAGAAGAACCCGAGGACAGGAGAGGTCTCAAATTGCACTGAAGTCCCTGGAACTTCTGCAAAATTGCGAATATAACCAAATTTTTCTTGGGTACATTGTGTCAGTGCATGTACTTTACGAAGTCAAAATTACATAGGAGGTGCCCAATTTAATGAATATATGAAAATGAGTCACCGATCTATATTTCTTCTCATTTAGGTTCCAAACTTATAAATACAAGTTGTAGATCAACTCGGTATGTCAACTCACGCTCATGGCATGAGTCAACCAATCGATTGCAGAAGGTGCACAAACATACAGCCACTGTTTCCTGAATAAAAAGACCCTACTTTGCAATCCAAAGAAAAATTAATGCCTATGTTTTTTTCCAATTCTTGAATTAGGGTTTTCATGCCTCAGTAAATTCCTTATCAAATTTAGCAAATCATTCTTTGTTATACATCTTTTTCTTGATAGCAATTCCTACGACCCAGTAACTTCTTCATTTTTTTTTTTTTTAAAATTCCTGAAATTGTTTGTTTTTCACGAAAAGGATATTTTGTTGAATTTTATATGTTTTGTAGCGGGGAAAGGGAAGAGTAATTTAAGAGTCATCCCAATGTTTGAAAATTGAACGGTTCTATTGTGATGGAAAATTCGAACCCAGTAATACTAGAGATAAGCTCCGATGATGAGGCCAGTTTCGGCGATGCCAGTGGAGGCGGCGGCGGAGGAGGAGAAGACCATGATTGGCTATCGGAGCTATTAGACGAGGTGGATAGAGGTTCGGATGATTCTGATGATGTGGTTTTGGTGGATGAGGTGGTTGTCAAGCCAAAGAAATCAAGATTAAATTCTTCTAATTCTTCTGAAATGGTAAATTATAACGGCTGCTATGATGACGATGATGATGAGTGTGTGATTCTTGATGGTGACCCTGATAAGCCGTTGGCGGTCGAGAATGGTAAAGTAGATGATGAGGGTTCTGATGATTTGCTTGTTGTTGGTGAAAAGGGACAGGTATTGGTTTTTACCCCTTCTTATCTTCCTTTAAAACAAAAATTTGGGATCTTGATTTCGATATTTGAGTCTCTACTAGATCAGTGTGCTTGATGATTAAATTATTGATGTATTTCGTTCTGTTAACCTAGTTATATCGATTTAGGGATTAGGATTTATGATTTCAGTTTTGAAAGGTATGTGAATTGAAATATGAATGATAATATCACTGTATTCTGGCATTCTGCTTTGTGTTTATTGAATTTTTCAGTCTATATGTTTGTTATGTGGGAAGAGGGACTGCACAATATCGGGGTTACTTTTCTGTTTATGGCATTTAGATAGTTCGTATTTTCCGCTGTTTCAGATTGCAGCTTAAGAAATAATCAAATAAAGATGGATATCAAGAGATCTGCTGGAGGTTTGCTGGGGACTCTCAGTATACCTTTAAACAATGCTTATGCTGTAAAGAATTTATGCTTTGTTTACATCTGGTAATTCTTGGTTTCATACGAATGTATGAGTCATATTACAGGTGCGGAAGTCTTTTTTATGACAACCATATCAATACGTGGGCAGTCAAGCATTTGCGGCTTGATTGGCATCACAATTGGGTAATATATGGAGCCATAGAATATCTTGCCGGGGTGTATATTTTTCAACGATATTTTGTCGGTTTCGATTATCTTGATTCTGTTGTATTCCAATGTTAGAATTTACTATGGATTTTTGATATTCTGTCAGTTTCTATTATATTCTGGTCCTTGGTATTTACAATGTTATTATCTTTTCCAATGTTATTATGTTTTTGTTTCACTAATAGGAACTATGCTGATATCTAGATGCGCTTTGGACAAAGACAAACTTAACCTACATGATTTATTTTCATTATTGGATACAGTCCATCGCTAGATCTAGCAAAAGATCTTACTCACTAAGATATTTTATTTCCACGTTAGTCTGTTTTCATTTTGCATATGTCTAGCTCTTGTAACATTTTCTACCACGTTCATATTCCTCTTGTGAATGGGAGTATTTCGAGTTTCCAGAAGACATGCCCCCCAACTACCTTAGTTGTCCCTCTCTTCATTTATCTTGAATTGGTGTACCCGCTTCTTGGGGTTTATTCTAGTTTCTTATCCATCTACTCCAGGATAGCCACACATGTTCTTAAAATCCCCATTTCGCATTTTGCAGTTTCATGATTTATATTTTCATTTTTATTTTTATTTTAGCCACATCCTTTCCTAATAGATGAAGAAAATGAAAAAAAGGATATTTTGTTGGCTTGATTTAAATGGAGATCTTGTATGAAATATATTTCTGCTTATCCTTTTTGCTTTCCATTTTAGGTTGCATGCAGAGACTTCCCTCACCCACGGCATCTTTGTGCAACATTTCCGTTTGCTTCTACTCCCCACCATACTCACTGTGACCTGGTGATTTTCTCAATTTAACTTTTCCCTTATATATATATATATATATATATATATATATAAAATCATTATTGCAAAAATGGGACTCGAATAGAGCCTATATACACACACACACACACATGTTTTACCGCTGCTGTTCCAAGGGTGCCCAACTAGTTATATACCCACAAATTAAGGTTTAACTTTGTGGCGGTGGGATACAATTAAGGTCATTACTAGTCACAACAACACCCCGTATGACCCGGCACAGAAATATATAATATCAAAGAGACCAATACTAGAAACTAAAAACTAATGCAACTTTACAAATACAAATTTACACACAACATTCTTTATCAGCCACAAATCACCATTTGCTAGAAAAAATTCTAATCTTAATATACATTCCAGGATCAAATTTAAAAAAAAAAAAAAAAAAAAATTTCATTTTTTTTTTTTTTTTTTTTTTGAAACAAACATGCTGCCATTGTAATTTCTAATTTTCTAATTTCAGTGTCATTGTTATGTTTGTGACTCACTTGCTCCATGTGTCCATTGGAGCTCTAGCATTTCCAGTATTGACCATTGTCATGACCATTGTCATGCAACGGATAAAGAGGAGTTTTGGACATCTCAACGGAAAAGCATGAAGGAAAGTGACAAAACACAACCAATTCCTAATGTTGTTCCTCGAGCAAGTCTGGTTCCGTCATTGCCTCTAGTACAGGCCAACTCTTTGGCCCAGAATCAGGATGTTAATCAGGACACAGTGCGCCCTTGGACCCATCTTGGCATTCCAAATATCACGAATCAAGGCAGTAGTCAACTGTCTAGATCTGCTTTTCCTAGATATCAACCACATTTGGTCCCCCAACAGTTGCATAGTAGTGCACACAATAGGAGTGATTTATCTAGGAATAGAAGGCACATTGTAGGAAGCAGAGGCCCTCAGTTCAGTACTCAATGTACAGCCTTCAAAAGGAGTGGGCTGGCCCGGGTTGATTTGGTGAATGATAGTCGTGGCTATGGTTTATCCAATAACAGTTACAGGTCACAATTTTCTAATAACCCGCCGCTGCGTAGGTGTCATGCTTCTAGTGGCGAAGTGCATATGGGCACAAGTGATGATTATGCAAATTTTGCACCCCACGAACCTCAAATGTCGACTCAGACATCTGTGAGCAGCCCGGTTACAATTGCAATACCCACCCGACCTCAAGTGTCTTCTCAGCAATACAGACGCAATTTTCAGAAAGCAGTTTCCTCGCAGCCCCAAATTGCTTCCCAGCCGTATGTCAGAAACCATTTTCAGAACACAGCTATCCCCCAGCACCCACTGGTGTCTCGACATAATGGGGGCAATACCTTTCATCCTGTACCTTCTCAAACCCATGTTTCCACCCCACTCTACACAGGCAACACTTGTGAACATCCACTGCCCCCGATGTCCTCACAGCACAATATGGATAGAACCTATGGATGTTTTGTCTCTTCTCAACCTGAAGGTTATGCTGACCCTACTTCGTTACTGAATGGACAAAATATCTGTCAGCAAGAGAATCAAATGCAAAGTGGTCTTGATTCAAATTTTGCGGATTTTGGCTTTAGTTGGGTTCCCCCTATCAGCGGAAGCAACCAACAAATCCCTGCAGGAAGTTTCCGACTACAAAATCCAGTACCAGCTGATAATTCCCAGTTTCAAAGTGTACCGCCAGAAGATAACACGTATGGACATGTAGTACCAAAGGATAATTTTTCCCTCATAGATGACAGTAATTCCTGGTTTCCCGGGATTACAGAACCTGATTCATTGGACTTTCAATTTGACACTTGGATGTTTGAGAATCAATCTGTTCCAGGGGCTTTGGAAGTTTCTGTTCCTCCTGGGTTGAATGTATACTCCCCTGAACCGGGTACTATAGACGCAGGTACTCTCTTCGATTTTTAATTCTCTTGCTGATGGTGGAAAATGGCAGGCCTAGAATTGTTTAAAAAATGGGAAATTGATGTTTTTGGTGATGTATAGGAAGAGTCGAGTCGAGTCGAGTTTTATCTTTTTACCACTCGGAGAGAGCGGAGATCTTCCTCGTTTGAAGGTTTCTTGTACAGAAACTAATCTTTTGTAAAATCTTTTCCTGTATTTAATCCCCGCTCCGGAAAATTCTCTCGAATGCATTCGAATTGTAAGAATATTCAATTCCATGCTAATTTATTTCACTGAATATTTTTACTAAGCCTAGAAAGATGTTTTTGAAAAATGTTTTGGTTTCCCTGAATTTCATTTGAGTGAATTCTCATAGTGGAACTTCATATAAGCAAGCAATAAAATGTTTCCACATTTGCATTTTCCTTGCTGAATTACAGATGCACAATGTGTTGTATGATACAGATGCTTCAGTTTGGAAAATATTTCAGTTGCTGTAATGTGCTAAAGAAAATGAGGTATAAAGTCAATCCATGCGCGATTAAGAGCATTTTCAAGATATTCTATTTGTAAAAAGCGTTTTATACATAATAGAGAACAAATTTAAATTTCGAAAGTAAATTTTTTTATGCACTCTAGCAAGCTTTTTATTTTATTTTTTTCCAATAAACATTTATTGATTTCTCACCATCTCTTGTTTGAAATAATTTTTTTATATGTTAATGGTCAATCAATTCAAATGTGTTTTGGATAATATAAATTGTAGAGTATTGAAATTTAGCAATTTATTAAATGCAATTATTGTGAATTAAGAATATAGAGTGAATTCTTTAAATTTGGAGAGTCAAATTCAATCTTTATTTTAAAAAATTAAAATAAAGAGTTACTTGAGGCTTTTTTTAAGCATTGATTTTCTAAAATATAGAATATTTTGTGTTTATAGAGTTTTTTGAAGATGTTCTAATCTATTTAACTGGGAAAAAAAAAATTAAACTGATATTTAGTCCCCCGTTTGATTCTCGTTCTTAAGTCACAAAAATGAAAAATAAAACCTTAATTCATCATATTAAGTCATCATATTTGACTTTCTATCTTTCGTGTGGGTTCCATAACGACTATATTTTTAATTCTTATTTTTAAATCTATGGAAATCAAACGGTGCCTTAATGTCTTCCTCACCTTATTTCTGTTGCCTAAAATGAAGTAGCACAAGTCTCGACAACTGACAAGAGAAGTAAAATGTCTAACACAACTCTTGCATTTGGTGCAAAATGAAATCTTGCTTCAAACTTTGAATCAAACGAATAGTCACTTTTTACCACGGAAATTCGTTAGCTTTTTTCCAGCACTTCAAGGAGCCCCTCTCAAAACATAAATTATACGCATTATGTGTAATTTCTATAATATATTTTTTAATGAATATTTGTCACATTATGTGTAATTTCTATAATATACTTTTTATTGAATATTTGTCACATCATATATAAAATAAATGTATTAATAGCCTTCGAAAAGTAACCATTTACAATCATTGAAGTTGACGAATGGTTCGGCAATGCACAAAGAAAAGCAAAAGGTACTTTCGGAAATAAAGAAATTAGAAGGTGCTAATAACATGTTGATGCGTTTCCTTTTTCACTTAAATTTAAAAAGGCACTTTATTTCAAAAGTAACTTCTGAGTTATATATGAAATTTAATTGGAATGAAATAAGATCGAATCATATAAAAGAAAAAATTTCTCTATTGGTTCAAATTTGATAATTTTTCAATCCAAGTATTTCCTAGAGAATTATTGATAGGGTTTTCAAAAAATTTCCTGAACCTCGTGTCTTTCTCAGTTTTTTTTTTTTTTTTTTTTAAACTTCAACCGATAAACACTGTTGATTGATGCTGCACTATTTCCTTGCAATGATCTTAGAATGGACAGTCGAAATCTATGCAAACCATCAAAGAAAATGTCAATCTCAACCAAAGAGGCAAAGTCAGTAAAATACATACAGTTCCAAATCCAGAAACTGGAAATATGATTTTCCTCTCCCTGCTCATGAAAGGGACAACACGAAGACAAGGAAAATCTACTGTTGATAACAAAATGCACGTTGGATCATATTAAGCATGCATATTAAGTACCACGCGGAGGCAAACCCCATCATGCATCAGATCAAAAGCTTTGTTTATCTCTGCAAGAGTCAAATTATGGGAAATGTACTCGTCAACCTTGATTTCCTGTAAAGTGAAGAAGCGGATCGAGTTTGGAAAATGTGAGAAGGAAAAAGATAAAAAACGAAAGCCCAGAAAAGGATTATATAAATATAATGCTCCTGCATGAAAATTAAGTACTCACTTTCTTCATATATTTGTCAACAAGCCAAGGTACTTGAGAACGACTTTTAAAACCACCAAAAGCTGTACCCTTCCATACACGACCGGTAACCAGCTGAAATGGTCGTGTAGATATCTCTTGACCTGATGCTGCAACACCCACAATGACCGAGGTTCCCCATCCCTATGAATTTATAGAGAAATTCAGCATACCCAACAACAAATGCGGCATTCAAGATTGAAGTTATAAATTTTCAGACAAATTACCTTATGGCAGCACTCAAGAGCAGACCTCATTACAGAGACATTCCCAATGCACTCAAAACTATAATCGACGCCACCATCTGTTAGATCCACAATTACCTGCTGTATCGGTTTATCATAGTCTTTTGGGTTGATAAATTCAGTCACGCCGAATTTTTTTGCTGTGAATCACAATTTGCAACCAGAAAATTAAGTGAGAGCTCCACCAATGAATAGATTAGCAAATAAATAGACCAAGTATCCCACTCACACACAAATAAACTTGTTTTAGTAATCCCCTTTCTCCAGTGATCTGATAAATTTATGTGCATCAAAATAACAGTGTTACTCCTAAATTCTTATGGTAGCGGTGTCTCACTTGAACTCTAATAATGGCACGAAATGCTCAGATAATGTCCATGTGTCCTTTAAATATAATGAATAACAAAATAAATCAGAATGAGTCAGTGATATATAAATATGCTTAGATTTACATCTCATTGAACCTTAGGATTTGGGTATACTAATTTCCAATACGTCTCTAATCCTCATCTAGACAAGGTGAAGATAACAATTATCATAAATTTTATGATAGAAATACTCATCATTCAATAATGACATTAAATCGTCGAACACAAACAGTCTTACCAGATGGATCATGGATATGTTTCAGAGGGGGAATAATTGATGGAATTAAGATTTTATTACATACTTAAATGAGCAGACAACTATCAACTGTCCTTTTTGGCAGCATTAAGATGATAGAGAACTCAGCAACTGAAATCAACAATGCGTCTGCAGTATTCACCATATTGACTATCTGTCTAACAAACTTACACCAAGAGCTGACCTCCAGAGCCTTGCATTACCAATATTACTAAAGAAACGAAAAAAGAAGATGCACACTACGTATTTGTTTTTGTAACTTAACCCAACTATTACAGAGAAATTATTAGACCACTGTCTCGTATTACCTTTTGGCTCCTGACAACCCTTCATTCTCACACTCCCACGCCCCCAAGAGTGGAGAAACATTATAAATGACGGGTTTCTATTTTACGAGCGTATGGCTAGATTCTGATTTTCAAGTGGAAGAGAAATAATCCGGTGTTAAAGCCAAGTAACAATGGTCGTCAAAGAAAAAGTACTTCGTATAATTTTGTTTCCCCATTTCAATTTTTAGGTAAAGCAAATCGTATCACAATACATAAAAGGTAAGCCCTCAGTTAGGTTATTGAAGGGAAAAAACAATAGCATTTTTTATAATCACGAAAAAACAACTACTCAGCTGTTAATGCAGAAGATACTGCAACAGCAGTCATAAAATGTAGAAAGTAATTTTGTAGGTTAAACTGGAAAACCATAGATCACTTGGGAAACTAGTTTTCCGGCACTGAGTTTATATGGGGATAGTGGAGGTGGCATAATACCTGTATCGAACTTTTTGCTATCAATGTCAATTCCAATTATCCGTGAAGCACCAGCAGCTTTTGCACCCTCTGCTACCTACAACAATGAGAAAAATTATTGATCATCATAATCATATGTCAGGACAAGAATCAGATCATCCTACTAAAAACTTACAGCAAGTCCGACAGTGCCAAGGCCAAAAACAGCAACAATAGAGCCTTGTTCTACTTTTGCTGTGTTCCAAACTGCTCCAAGGCCTAAGGAAGCACAATGAACAGCATTAAAACATGTTCAAAAGACTATGACTACAGGATTGTCATCTATAAAAACACTCCTAACAGATGTACAAAAAAATAAAGATTTTGAAATAGTAAATTAAATGGCAGGAGCAGTTGAATGGAAACAGAAAACAGCAGCTAGAAGGGTAGATAAGCTAGATGGCAGAAGAATCTGCACTCTGCGAACCTAAGTCACCGAAATACATATTAATTCACTGATTAATATGTTTGTAAGCCACAGGAGCCAAAGTGAAGGGTGGAAAAGGAACGATATCTGAAGAGAGTTTATTGACTGAGACTAATCCTTCCCTTGTTTCATGGACTTATAAAGAAAAACAACTTTAAAATGGATAGAACCTCAAATTTGATGATGCATTGTAAGATACAGCTTTTTAAATAAGAAAACTCACAGCATCAATGGAAATGGACATCTAGGTTCCTGCATGCTAATTAGCCAATTCACAAAATCATACAAAAAGAAAATAAATTGCATATTTAATTCCATCACATAATTGGATTGGGGAAATGGCTTGCCTGTTGGAATACCACAACCTAGAAGACATACTTTCTCCAAAGGGGCTTTGGGATCAATCTTTGCAACACTAACATCATGTACAACAGTATACTGACTGAATGTTGAAGTTCCCATGAAATGATAAATAGGTTTGCCATTGATTGAAAAACGACTATTACGGTCACTCAGCATTACTCCAGCTCCAGTAGCTACCCTTACTTTCCCACAGAGATTTGTCTTCCCTGATTTGCAGAACTTGCATTCTTTGCATTCTGCCTGGTAACAAGGAATGACATGGTCGCCAGGCTGAAGCTCAATCACGCCTTCTCCAACACTTTCGACAACACTGCAATTCCAATAAAATAACAAATTCATACTATTTCTTCATTAGAGAAAAGAGCTGCGCCAAAATTGCAAAATGGTTTCTACGTGTATCATTAACAGAAAACGTACCCTGCAGCCTCGTGACCAAGAATACATGGGAAGAGACCCTCGGGATCCTTGAGAGAGGAGAAACAGTAATTAGATCACAGTACAGAAAAATTAAAGAGAACATCAACAGTATTTTGAATTTTCTCTCTTTTTTTCCAATGTATAATTGTGTGTATATCTGTTGATACTATCACACTGCATAAAGCTATTTAGATTTATGGAAACTGAATAGAAAGCATAATCAAATCTTCATGAATTGGAAATTCAAATTGTCACACAAATATTCTATTGAGACTTTGTTTACACATCCAGCACCTCAATAAAAACGAGTTCTTGAAAAATCAAAAGCTTAAGCTAATAATATTTGCATTCTCAAAAACTTTCTTATCAAGATGCTATATAGGAAATTCTGTACTATTTCTTAAACAGAAGCAACACCTGACAAAGAACTTTTATCCATCTTTATACAACTGCTATCTACGCAGTATCAACTCACTCTAAGTAACTACATTTTCACTTTTTGGCGCTCTTAAGACAGAAAACTGACTGATGGCCGAGTTTAGCTGGGCTTTCACTTTTCGGCGCTCTAAGACAGAGAACTGACAGATTTCAATATTAAATATCAATAAAAAAAATGATTTCAATATTCAAAATACTGGTATATAAACAATAAGTCAAATCGACTTCTGCCTGACAAAAACTTGCTCACTGTCACCTCCAATCTCAAAATGTTAAGCCGGTAACCTTTTTTCAAGACTCATAACCCAAGCTTTACCAGTAATCAGCTTGCTCAGATCATTTGCCCATATAAATGAATCCATTAAAAATTACAATCAAATCTTTAAATCACAAATTCAACACTAGCAAGTCCACAGATAAACACGATCCTCATTCTGAAAAACAAAACCATTCGAACTTCCAAAAAGCCTTCAAAATTTTCAATATTTTTGTAGAAAGACATACCATCACCATCCTAAATCCAATAAAATATTTCATTTCACTCAGCATTTGTATGAACAGTACACACGTATCTATTTATATCATAGTACCTTTCCGCTCCAGGTGTAAGCGTCGGTGTGGCAGAGGGCAGTAAAGAGGATCTTGATCCGAACCTCGCCGGCTTGCGGCGGCGCCACCTGAACCTCCTCGATCACCAAAGGCTTGTTGGGTTCCCAGGCCACCGCCGCTAAAATCACACCAACTCAGCTTAGGGTTACAATTTTAAATACAAACTATATACAATATACGCCTACACAAATACGTATACATATACAAGTGTTATTATATATAGAGGAGTACCTTTGCAAGTAATCACTTGACCTTTCGTAGCCATGGAATCGATGAATGTGAAAAGAAATCACACACGAAACACAGGGAGAGATGAGGATCGTAATGACTGTGAGGAGTGATCTGCCCGAATTGATTATTTTATTTTATTTTATTTTTATTTTTATTTTTATTTTTATTTTTTTGTGGTGCAAACTTCATATTTGCCCGATGTACTCGATTTTAACGTAGCAAATTCGAGATATGCACAAAAAAAAATCGATGTTACCATTTCTTGACCAAAATACCATTGTGCAAATTAGAGGACAATTCAGTATTGGACTGAGAAAAAAAATTTAAGTCGAGCTAATGTGTGAAAAAAAAAAGGTATCGCTATTTCCATCCATACTTTTTATATTTACATCCACTTTTAAAAATAAAATTTTATTATATTTTAAATCCTATGTAAATGTACTTAAATAGACCAAAATAAAATTAAATAAAAATACATAACTCTATATTCATCCACTTATTCTTATTTTCATTAAATTATCCAAAAAAATTTTACATTTGTTTTATAATTTATGTTTAACTAGAACCCTAATAGATAAGAGAAAATTACATGAATATTTTCGAAGCATTCTAATGCTTAAAACTTCAATAGACAGAATTTAGTAAATAATGGAAGAGATGCCACTTAAGCAAATATATACAAACATAGCAATATATGAAGAGGAATTTGAAAAAGGTAAGGATTACCTTTTTATCGTCTTTGTTGTTTGATTTTTGTTTGAATTTGGACATTTTAATTTTCTTTTCTTGATTTTATCTATTATTCCTAAGTCTAACTGGTAACGTCCTTTGGTCACCGAGCAATCCATCGTGTGAAAACTCTTTTTTTATTGTTGTCTGGATTGCCTTCTTTTTTCTCCCCTTTCAACTATGCCAGAAAGTTAATAGTGCTTATATGGAAAGTGATGTTCTATTTCTTAAATTATTAACCACCCCACTTCTCCAAAAGAAGAAAAGAACAGAAAACAAATTTTCTCTTTCGATGGTATTAATTATTCGCTGTAAAAAGTCCTAAGTTTTGGCACAAGCATTGCTCTTTTTTAGATGCACAATATCCTTAAATGGCTGTGGGGCAATTTCTTGTAGATATGGTACAAAAATAAATGGTTGCTAAGTTATTGAACAAGAAAGGTAGTAAAATAAACTTTGAAAGAACATAATCATATGGGTTTGTTAATTGATTCCTGCTAACGGATTGTTTATCAGCAACTTATAACCTTCAAGCTCTAAAACCAATATTGTTTTTCCTTTTATGACATGTTTGGTAAAGAGGATTGTATAACAATAGACAATAACATTTTTTTTTTTGGGGGCGTGTTTGGTCTACTCAATGAAATTTTGTTTGGTTATGTTTATGTGTTGGTTTTCTGCAGTATTATTTAAAAGTCTAAACTGACTAACAGAACAGAATCAAATTGAACCGATTTGATTTGGGTCGGTTCGGTTTAAGAGCTAAAGTGGGTTTATTTGGGTTGACATTTTTGCAAACCAACTAATTTGGTTTTGATTTCAAGTTAGGATCAAAACCAACCCAAATCAAACCGCACTCATGCCTGATAATTTATGGTTATTTGCTTTGATGGATTGAGTTTTAAGAACAAGAAAGATAAAACTTCTAATTTAACATGGTTAAGCGGATAATATATGTTAATATAATGTTCAATTAGTTCATCTTTGTTCTTATTTTTTCATATAGTTTAAAAGAGTTTTTGGTTTTAGGGAAACTGTGGATCTATAATGTTAGAGATGTATTTAAAGTGAGATGAATATATAAAATTCATTTGGATAGATAGTATTTAAATGAGTGAATTTAATAAGGACAATATTAGAATATGACGTAGATGCAAATAGTATTTTAAAAAAAAAAAATTAAATTTAATAGGAATGAACTTAGAGGTGGATATAAATATAAAAAATGTGAATGGAAATAACGGTACCCAAAAAAAATGCACGTAAATTTTCATTTTTAAATCTACGAGTGGTGTAAGTCACACAAGTGAATGGACGCGACCATTTTGGCGAAGCAAATGAACAAAATGGGAAATTTACACAAAGAATGACCAACATGAAGGTTTACACGCTAAAATTGAAACGATAAAAACTATTACAAAATGAAAGCAAACAATATGAAAGTTTTGGTCGAATTACTCATTAAATTATCGCTAGTTTCATAATTTAATTCTTAATTCAGTGTACTTTTCAATAACTTAACCTCAATATTTTCCCGATTCTAATAGCAAGTTTGGGTATTTACCTTAATAATCCCTTTTTGTATTTGACCTGGCCCGTAATGTGTACGCTATATGCAAATTGGAAGATTTTGTCTATCTATTTGAGTTTATCTCTATTATTATTTTTTAGAGTAATGTTACACATATGGGAAAGTTCCGCATCATTCATGCAGAGGGACACTTGAAGCAGTTTTATTGGCAGTTGGAAAAAAAAAAAAAAACACTTCAGCCCTCGTTTGGCTCCCATTAAATTCTATTTTATTTTTCTCTCCTTCTTTTTTCTACCACTCATTTTTCAAAAAAACACTATTTCACCCATTTTCATTTAAAAAAAAACGGGGGCCAAGTGTTGTCAGTGCAGTACCAGTAGAAATTGTGTACTTGGGAAATTTTCCTATTTCTTATAGTGGTCGCATGGCAAGGAAGTGTTTTTCACTAATTAGTGGGCTTTAGGGAGGTGATAAACAAGTAATATAACCAATTTTTTCAAAAAATAAATCATAAATATTTTTTCACCCCCGTTTCCTTAACCAAGTGAAGTTTTTGAGGTCGACACAGTCCCAAATAGACTTGATGCTTTCTTAGTTGGTTGACCAGACATTGAAGTGTTCTTGAGCTCAATGACTATGCATAAAGTTCTACCCAACGTGTTAAAATCGATTATCGAGTTTATTTTTTTATCTGGCTTCTATCAAAGCAAGTAGCTTTGAGGACCCGATCACAATATATTGAAAATGAGAGACATCATCAATTGCTCCGCTTTTGTAGTTTTAGATATTTCAGAGTACTCCTATGACTGATCTGTCACCAAACCTACTCAAACAAGTAGAAAGACTGGCCCATCCCATTTGGAGAATGACACTTTATGGCTTAGTTAGTTATTATTGTAGCTTTAATTAAAATTTGGACCGCAACTTCTCTGAAAAGCATGGTTCTTGCCCCTCTCCCCCTCTTTGAGCTAGTTCATTCATTTGGGTGATCCATTGCTCTCGTGCTAAAGTGTTTGTTCGTTGTAGGTCCATGAGTAAGATTTATACCGATTGCAGTCATCTCCGGGGTTTTTTTGTACTTGGATAGTACGAGGACCTATGTTCCCCTGCCTTTGACCAAATAAAGTTGTCCAATCTTGTGCCTTCAAAAGACATGGATTGGCTAAAGGACCCAATCACAATATAACTGACTTCGAATCTTGTCATGGCCGTTAGACCAATGGCCTTAGGGCTTCTTTCAAGATCAACATATTGGCTCCCATTTTTAAAACTTTTTTTGAAACTTATTTTTCAATCATACCTTTTACGAGACTCACAACACTTTATCAATTTTTAACTATATCTTTATCAAAATTTAATAAAAATATAATTGTTATCCACCAAATGGGATCTTTGCAAATGGGACATGAGCTTGGTGAACGTCTACAGACCAGGCTACAAGTGGATTGCTGTTTTACTTGACTTGGACACTATGGCAAAGTTATAGGCAAAGAGCTTGGTTTGAGTTTAGATGGAAAATTTGAAATCTCAATCTAGAACGGTATATGCCCAAGACTCGATAATATGATCATGTTATAGAGACATACAAACTCATATAACCACAGCAAGTAGCAATGCGTCAAAATTTCAAAAGAGGAAAAATGAACGAATGCTAATAAAGGCTCCAAGGAATTAGAGATTTTAATAAAACCCAAAATGTTTACTTAGAAGTTAGAGAGTCACGAGCTTTAAAAATCATGAAATGACTTATGGTTCTGTACAAAGGTGAGGATGAAAAAATCATGTGTCCTAAATATAATATTGAAGATCTATTACTTTATTTTATAAACAAAGATGACTCGACCCAACTCGACTCTAATCTTACCTAAAATGATTTTTCTAGCATATATGATGCAACAATGATTTAAAAAAAAAAAAAAAGGTTAAACCCTAACCTTAAGGGTCCCCCACCACGCCTGCCCTGGAGCATCGTAAGGGAGGTAAGTCGCTGGTTATGCCTCCAAAGGTATAGGGTGGAAGGCTGCTTGTACACTTGCACATACCCAAGAGTCAAATCCATATTTCAGGATTCGAACCCTTGACGCAGCAACTTCAAGCAAAAGAGTGAAAAGTTCTAGATTTATGTGTAATTTTATTTTATTGGAGAATATGAGACTAAAAAGAATAGAAAGAAAAATACATTTTGATTAAAATGGAGCAAAACATGGGGAATATATTGCCCCAAATTTATTTTGACAAAAAGATAAAAAGACAAACAACTCATCGTGACAAAATTTATCTTAGGTAAATGTGAGTTTTCATTATCTTTTTGACTAATTTGGAGAGGATAATTAAGGAATTTTTAGACCGGATTGGTAGAAGTATTTTTAGAAAATCATTATATTTATCCTACTATATCGATTTTTTTAACAAAAGAAAAGAAATTTTTGACAATTTCATAGAAATTTTCAATGCTGGATGCCCTGAATTTTTGATTCTATTGATAAAATTGGCATTTCTTCAAAATTATTAAGGACTTGTTTAATAAAATTTATTTGGGAATAATGAGTTATTGAGTAATATTTTTTGAGAACGTGTGATTAAAAAGTAAGAAATTTTTGTTAGTTTGCTTGTAAAATATTTAATCTTGTGAATATATGGTAAATAATGATATTGTAGCAAACAATGTAAATTTTTAAAGGATAATGAACATGGCTAATTATTCCTCTCTAGCATAATGTACCACTTATGGAAAACACAACTTATTGAAGAATTTAAAATGAATTGTCTACGATGATGAGGATCAAGTGCCACTAAATTAAAAGTTAAAGAATTAAATGTCACGAGACATTACATTAAGGGTTTATTTGATTGCAAATGTGGAAAAGGCAAAGTTGGGAAAAAAAAAAT